ATAGGAGATATGGTGTTGAGGAGGAAAACTGAAAAAGGATATGTTCCTAGGGTTTAGAGTCAACTGAGGGAGTCTGACATTAATCAAAAAGTCAGTCAAAAATTATATTTAAAAAATTTTAAACATGTACAATTACACTACAATTGTGCTTCAAAGAATATACATATAAGAAAGTGTAAGAGGAGGGAAATGATCAATCTCGTGTGGTTGGGGAAGGCATCTCCATAAGATGGTCTTCATGCTGGGATCTAATGGAAGGCTAAGGGCTAAGTGGGGGAAGAAGAAAAAAGTCAAAGGGAGGTGGGGGTAATAGGAAAATTACGGTGACCCAAACCAAAAACCAGAAAGTCCTCCTGAGCTCTCTTCCTTGCTTCCCAGCATCTAATCTGCCACCTAGTCCTATTCATCCAACCTTGTCAGTATCTCTTATCTGGCATATGGTACTCCACATAACCACTTATTTAATTCAGACTCCCGACTGCTCTTAGATTTTTACAGAAGCCTCTTAAATATACTCCCCCCGCTTTCTGTCTTACTGCCTTTAAATTTATTCTCTGTAGTACACAGAGACCGGTGCACTGTATTCTGTGTTATAAGAAACAGTGTGGGCTTTGGAGCAGAAGCAGCTCTGTCACTTAGTTATATGTCTTTCTGCAAGTAACTTAATTTCTCTAAGTTTCAGTTTTTTTAAAATCTGTAAAATAAAGATAATAGGCCGGGCGCGGTGGCTCAAGCCTGTAATCCCAGCACTTTGGGAGGCCGAGACGGGCAGATCACGAGGTCAGGAGATCGAGACCATCCTGGCTAACACGGTGAAACCCCGTCTCTACTAAAAAATACAAAAAACTAGCCGGGCGCGGTGGCGGGCGCCTGTAGTCCCAGCTACTCGGGAGGCTGAGGCAGGAGAATGGCGTAAACCCGGGAGGCGGAGCTTGCAGTGAGCTGAGATCGCGCCACTGCACTCCAGCCCGGGCGACTGAGCGAGACTCCGTCTCAGAAAAAAAAAAGAAAAAAAAGATAATAATACTCACATTTTGTCTGGTTCACATAAAGATTAGATGGATGTCAAAAATGTGCTCGTGCATAGTGCCTAGTCTAGCATCATAATGGGTAGCATTAAATTATGTGCTGGGTGTTGTGCTAAACTGCTTAATACTACCTCATTTATCTTTGGGTAGATTTTATTATCCCCATTTTCCAGATGATAAAATGATGTACAACTTGCACAGAGTCACAAAGCAAGTAAAGAATCAAGGAATTCAAGCCCAGTCAGTTGGCTTCCATAACACCTGCTGTTAACCACACAACCACAGCTACTAGGAAAGACAGGGTAAGAAAGTGAGAACGTTATCAAAGCTTGCCTCCATTCTTAGCTGCTAGATGAACTTGTACAAGTTATTTAAAGTTTTGAGCATCAGTTATCTGCAAAATGAGGATAATAATACTTGCTTGTAATGTATTAATGGGAGTTAAATACGAATGAATTGTATAAAGTGAATGGCACCCATTAGCACTCAATAAAGGATATCTATTATTCTTGTTATTTCTAGGTTAAAAATATAATCCTCTAGCCACTCCGTTTAAACATCCTGTTATATTCCCTCGGCTTCAAGGAGAACGCCCACACTCCTTATCATGGAATACCAAGCCTCCATTACTTGCCTCCTCCCCTCATCTTCCAGCTTGAGCTTTAACAATACAACCGCTGTGGTTCCCCCAAAGTGCACGGCTCTCCCATAAATCTCTACCTTTGGAAGCCTGCTCTCTTGGCCTGGAAAACTGTCCTTCCTTCTCTTGCTCCTATTCCAACATTAGTCTTCTGGCTAACTCTCATTCTTTAATCCTTGGATCTTCCCCTCCGCCCCTCCTTTTTTTTTTATAAAGCCCTCAATCATAGAAAGGATGTCCTTTCTCACATGCTGTTGTAAGTGTGCAAATCATTTCACGATTGTTTACTCATCTTTTTTCCCTGCTAGACCGTGAGTTGTTAGAGGGTAGAGACTTTAATTTTGATATTCCAAGACTTAGCAGGGTAGGCAGGCAATGAATGCTTGATGTGTGAGGACTAAACGCAATAATTAGAGGTATAGAATCTGGTTCTTAGCAGGTGTTCAATAAATATCCAATGTTTTAATAATTTTTGTATAAAATAATATTTATTATATGTTCTATTTTAATAATATTTATTATTTATGAATTATTTATATTAGTGTAACGTTTGTGGCTTAGCATTCTGTTACCCTTTGTTTCCTTGAATGTATTTCAGAATTTTAATGTTTCATGAAGTCTCTCTAGTTTGTTCTATATTCTTACTTATTATCAGTAGAAGTCATTATAAAGTGATTCTTCATTCTGCTTGCTTTCATTATTATCCAAAGTGAAAGTCTCCAGTTTTTGGATTTTTTTTAAGCACACTCATAATCAAATGCAGTGTCTTTTGTTAAGTTGTTAACTGACCTAAAATATGGGCATTTCCACTAACTCAAGCTGAGAAGAATCCATGAGGATTCTGCAGAAAAGACATAAAGAAATAAACATGACAATCAACACAAAGAAAGTTGGAAATCCTTTTAGAGGGGTACCGTTTGCCAATGTGACAACATCTTCTCTTTTGACAAAGATTCAGTGCTGGCAGCCCCTGCTGGGGAGAGGGTATAAGAGGAAGAGAGGAACTACAGGGACACAATTTAAATGTTTTGACAGCTTAGTCAAAGAAGTGAATTGCCGCAGGCATTTGCACATTTAACCCCTGCTGTGACAGCTACAATTCTTTCTCTCACTGTCTAAATCCTACAATCAGCTCTTTGGAAAGCTAAATGTCGCATGTCTAACACAAAAAATAAATGAAAAAAACAAGCGAAAAAAATTATGTAAGCAAGAATTGAATATACTCAAATCTCTGTTGGTGGCAGTAATTTACCTTAATTTTCTTACTTTCATTTTTCATTAGCCATATCCTAGAGTGCTAGAATTCTGTGCCTGATTCTCTTGGGTCTCATGTGTAAAATTTCAACAGCACATTCTGGCAGGATGAACAGTTTTAATGGTGAGTAATATGATTATGACATGCTTCAATTTAGTTCCAAAGTTTACTGAGCTAGTCCTTCATAATTCATAGATGCTTCTGCTCTTTTTTGTCAAAACGGTGCTTATGGGAAGAGGCAAGTCAATCAACAATAAATTTCTCATTGTTGGAACAAGGCACTTTTTTTTTTTTTTTAGAACGGTAGGAGCTCTCTGTCTTTGTCTCTGTTTCTATGTCCCTTTCTTCCTCCCTCTGCATCCCCCACCCCCATCCTTCAAATCATGGCACATAACTAGAAAAAGAGCAAGATGAATAAAGGAAAAGAGGAGTGTGGTATTTGGGGCATTGACTTAACACAGCATTTCATTCTACAAGCAAGATTTATGTTGGTGGACTGACTATTGTTTGAAATGAAATCCAGTGGCACTAAGTTTTTGGCAACATTAAAAAAATCTCACCTCACAATTCATAATCACCTACTGCTCTATTAGGTGCAGGGAAGAATTTAAGAGATAAAAAACAATGTCTACATGCCCTGTTCCCCTACAAATGAACTAGGCCAGAGTGTAGAATTCAGGAATTAAAATGCCTATTTTAAAATGTATGAAGCTTATAAGAGTTTTCGTGGATAAACAAGGCCAACATGAAATCACTTAAAATGTATCCTCTTTTTGAAACGTTGTACTTCATTATACTATAAAATCAGTTGTAAATTTCTTGAGAAGTTTGATTTCCAATAAACTGCAGTGTTTTCCCTGGTCTTGTATTACTGTTATTCTTTCTAGTGACTTTTCCTTTAGAATTACTAAAATCCCATGATTTACTCCTACTTGACTTTAAAACAGTTAAGAAAAATAACTCAAAGTGTTGAGAATTTAGAGAAATCAAGCAGTTCAGAGTTAAATAGAAAGTATGCATTGTTTTGCTTGTGAGATTGGCAGTTTCCATTAGATGATTTCATGGAGTTAATTTGAATTTCTTGCCTTCTTAAAATTGTAAGACAACCACATTCTTAGGCACCTGTTTCTAGCAGTACATACTTGCCTTTAAATCTCTTTTCATTGTAATGAACAAGTAAATCTCTGTAAGCACTTAACTCACTACTGGGGAAACATTTCTGGAACAGTTCGTTATGTGTCACAGCTAGGGTCAACACTCAAATAATGGATGAGAACAATACCAAATATTTTCAGTGGGGACTAATTAAGAGGTAAGTAGGAGGAATTGCATGACTACATGGTGTAGAAATAGGATTTTAGAGGATGGGAATAATAGTGGCAAAGGTCTTTTTTTCTTTTTTTTCTCCACTTTCACAACTTTCATAGTTAAAAATCTTTGGCAATGTTGGGGCTCAAAAAACAATACCCCAAAGTAAGGTGCTTTGGTATGCTGATTGGTGCTTTAAACTCAAGGAGATTAGAAGGCCTCTGAAGCAAGGTTTCTATGATTTGCTCCTGCTCTCCTGTCTCTCGGTTCACTTTCTCCCCCAAGCAAGTCGTAGAAACTAGAATTCCTCTTCCCCAAGGTAAGCCATAGAAACCAGACCTTCTTTCCTCCAAAGACAGCTACAAAATCTAGAAATATTATTCTAACCTTCCACTGGTTTCCTGTTTAGGAAGGAGTTTGCGATATAGAAATTCTCTGACTTGCTTTGTCTGATCGTAGGCCGTAAGACCCTCCTTCTAGAGAGGTCTTGTCCTATACCTGGGTTGAAGGAATGCTACACAGAAAGGCCAAGAAGAATCTGAATGGACAGCCTTGTTGGTTTTCCCACCTCATTATGTTACTGTTAGATCACTCCCTTTTTGTCTAATCATATTTCTACATGGCTGGCCATTCTTCATCAAATCTAAGCATAAAAATGGACAGTTTTCCCTCGGTCTTCCGGTCTTCATTTCTGAAGGCTCCTGTGTCACATAACACTTTGATTAAATAAATTTGTTATGCTTTCTTCTTAACCTGTCTTTTGTTGCAGGAATGACAGCTGTAACCCTTATGATGGATGAGGAAAGTGTCATGCGAGTCTGTGTGAAGAGACCACCAAGCAGGCTTTGTGTGAGCAATAAAGCTTTTTAATCACCTGGGTGCAGGTGGGCTGAGTCCGAAAAGAGAGTCAGCGAAGGGAGATAAGGGTGGGGCCGTTTTATAGGATTTGGGTGGTAGGTAAAGGAAAATTACAGTCAAAGCGGGGGTTGTTCTCTGGTGGGCAGGAGTGGGGGTCACAGGGTGCTCAGTGGGGGAGCTTTTTGAGCCAGAATGAGCCAGGAAAAGGACTTTCACAAGGTAATGTCATCACTTAAGGCAAGGACCAGCCATTTTCACTTCTTTTGCGGTGGAATGTCATCGGTTAAGGCGAGGCAGGGCATTTTCACTTCTTTTGTGATTCTTCAGTTACTTCAGGCCATCTGGGCATATATGTGCAAGTCACAGGGGATGCGATGGCTTGGCTTGGGCTCGGAGGCCTGACAAAAAGGTATCATCTTTTCCACTCCTACAGCCTCAAAACTGTCTCTAATAAATTGAACTCCAGCGGGGGTTTTGGAAATTGAATGTTAAAGTCCATGGCTACAAATTTTATCATCTTTATTTCCAAACGTTCTTTTCTTCATTTTGTGCCAGGGTGGAAGGGAGTATTTACAAAGACTCCTGAAGAACTGTCAAAATGTGTTCACTCATTTATTAATTCCTTCGTTTATATGGCCAGTTGAGCTTCTCTGGAATGCTCACATTATATTAGCTGCTAGTCAGTACTTTGCCTTCAGCTCACTTTCCAGCTTTGTAAACTAAACTGGGGTGCAGTGGGGTGAAGTGGTTAAGTGTGATGATGAAGAAAGAAAATTAACATTTTCAGGGGCTGGTAGAATAATTTGGTGTGTGAAAGTTTTCTCAGTGTATTTTGTCAAAGACAATTTATAATTGAAAGTGCTGAATAACTTTGGGACCTCTCTATACTTTTGGAGGACAATGGATAAGTCTCTGTTAATAGTAACTCCAATTTGAATATTTCATTTGAGTTTCATTTTATGATATAAACATAGGTAATTTGTTTTGTTTTTTAAAGCGGTTTATTAATTTCAACACTATGGATTCAACCTTGGGATGTCTCAATTATTGTATATAAAAGCTATATTAATACTGATTCATCTCTGGAGATTGCTCCCAATAACTTTTAGAATTTTCCATATTAACAATAAAAATAATCAAATGTAAGTTTATAACTACTTTATTCATTTCTAACAAATAAAAATTGTGCGCCAATGATACGCCAAAAGTATCCAAAGATGAATAAAACTGAAGCCCTGTTGGAAATATATACATGACACACTGTAAAGTTTTTTTAAAAAAGCAAGTTGCTAAGTTACATGTGGTGCATAATCCCATTTGTGAATAACAAAGTACGTATATATGCATGGAAACATATGTGGGACCAAGTTGTTAATAATTCTTTTTTTTTTTTTTTTGGTAGAGACAAGGTCTCACTATGTTGCCAGGGCTGGTCTTGAACTCCTGGCCTTAAGCTCTCCTTCCATCTCAGCCTTCCAAACTGCTGAGATTACAGACATGAGCCACAGCATCCAGCTAGATTCTCACGCCTGAAGGATATAGCATTGCTGGCTGCTGGAATCACCTCACTTCTCTGGGAACTTTCCTTTCTCAAAGAATTATTTTCTATAGTCACAGACATATTACAAATTTCTACCCCTCCCTGACCTCAGCTAGTGGACTTAAGGGAGGAGACCACCCCTCATATCGTCTTATGCCCAATTTCTGCTTCCAAAGAAAGAAGAAGTAAAAACTAAAAGGCAGAAATGAAATCCACAGGCAGACAGCCCAGCGCCACACCCTGGGCCTGGTAAAGATCGACCCCTGACCTAATTGGTTATGTTATCTATAGATTACAGACATTGTATAGAAAAGCACTGTGAAAATCCCTATCTTGTTTTGTTGCAATCTAATTACTGGTGCATGCAGCCCACAGTCACGTACCCCCTGCTTGCTCAATCAATCACGACCCTCTCACAAGCACCCCCTTGCAGTTGTGAGCCCTTAAAAGGGACAGGAATTGCTCACTTGGCAAGCTTGGCACTTGAGACAGGAGTCTTGCCATACCCCTGGCCTAATAAACCCCTTCCTTCTTTAACTCTGTCTGAGGAGTTTTGTCTGCAGCCCATCCTGCTGCATTTCTTGATTCCCTGAAGGGGAAGCAAGGTGATTGGCAGATGGTTGAGGCAGCTCCTTAGGCGGCTTAAGCCTGCCCTGTGGAACATCCTGCGGGGGACTCTGACCAGCCCAAGCGACGCAGATCCTGAGAGTGCTCCCCGGTAGGCATTTGCCCCTGTGGGACACCTCGCCAGAGCAGTGTGTGGCAGGCCCTGGTGGAGGATCGATGCAGTGGCTGAACACCGGGAAGGAGCTGGTACTTGGAGTCGGGACATCTGAAACTCGGTAAGACTAGTCTTGAGAACTTGCCCACTCCATTTGAGTGGAAGCGTGGCCTGATCACCCACGGGGTGCCTTTATCGGCACTTTGGTTTGGTTTTGGTTTTGGTTTTGACTTAGTTTGAATTGACAGGATTGGTCTTGGGAACTTGCCTACTCCATTTGAATGGAAGAGTGGCCTGAGCACCCGTGGTGTGCCTGTACCCGCACTTTGGTTTTGGTTGTTGACTTGACTTGGATTGCTTGATACTTTGGTTTTGGTTTTGTCCTGGCTTAGATTTCTTGATACTCTGATTTTGGTTTTTGATTCTGGTTTGGAGTAAACTGTAAAAGTGTGTGTGTGCCCTTTTTAACTGTTCTTTGTTTTGTGTTGTGCGTGTGGTGTGAGCATGGTGTTTCGTCTCGAGGAAACATGGGTGAGGCACAAAGTAAGCCCACCCCACTAGGAACTATGTTGAAAAATTTCAAAAAGGGATTTAAGGGATACTATGGAGTCACCATGACACCAGGAAAACTTAGAACTTTGTGTGAGATAGACTGGCCAGCATTAGAGGTGGGTTGGCCATCAGAAGGAAGCCTGGGCAGGTCCTTTGTCTTGAAGGTATGGCAGAGGGTAACCTGTAAGTCCGGATACCCAGATCAGTTCCCATATATAGATTCTTGGTTACAGCTAGTTTTGAATCCCCCACAGTGGTTAAGAGGACAGGCAGCAGCAGTACTAGTAGCAAAGGGACTGTTAGTTAAGGAAGGTCCTCACTCCACCTGCTGAGGGATGTCGGCACCAAAAGTCCTGTCCGACCTAACACTGGAAGAATCATGGCAGGAACCGGTAGCAGCAATACCCCCTCCTTATCGGGAGGAAGGGCTCCCCACCCCTGAGCCCACAGCACCTCTACCTCCACCAGATGACCACACCCCTAGACCACCCAGAGTAGACAAGAGAGAAAGTGAAGCCACAGGAGAAACTCCTCCCTTGGCAGCTCGCTTACGGCCCAAGACTGGAATCCAAATGCCCCTGAGAGAGCAGCGACACACTGGGGTAGATGAGGATGGACACATGGTGGAAAGGCATGCCTTTATGTATCAACCTTTCACCTCTGCTGACCTCCTCAATTGGAAAAATAATACTCCATCTTACACTGAAAAGCCCCAGGCTTTAATCGACTTGCTCCAAACTATTATACAGGCTCATAACCCTACTTGGGCTGATTGCCACCAGCTGCTCATGTACCTTTTTAATACAGATGAAAGGCGAAGGGTGCTCCAGGTGGCAACTAAGTGGCTAGAGGAGCACGTTCCAACCGATTACCAAAACCCCCAAGAATATATAAGAATCCAACTGCCAGGAACAGACACCCAGTGGGACCGAAATGAGGGACCAGATATGGAGAGGTTAAGATGGTACCTTCAGGCATTAATAGAAAGCCTAAAGAAAGGGTCTCAAAAGGCTACAAATGTAAATAAGGTCTCTGAGGTCATCCAAGGAAAAGAGGAGAGTCCAGCGCAATTCTATGAATGACTGTGAGGCTTACCGTATGTACACTCCTTTTGATCCAGATAGCCCTGAAAATCAGCGCATGATTAACATGGCCTTAGTTAGTCAAAGCACAGAAGATATTAGGAAAAAATTCCAGAAACAGGTTGGGTTTGTGGGTATGAATACCCCATAGTTACTAGAAATAGCCAATCAAGTGTTTGTGAATAGAGATGCAACAAGCTGCAGAGAAAGCCGTAAGGAAGGCGAATGCCAGGCCAGGTGAAACGCCGACTTACTGGCCACAGCCGTTAAGGGAATTCCCCCAAAAGGAGAGGGAAAGGGGAGTTCAGGGAAGAATACCTAGTCTAATCGCCCACACTGGCAACATAACCAGTGTGCCTATTGTAAGGAAATAGGACATTGGAAAAATAAGTGTCCCCAACTGAAGGAAAAGCAAGGTGGTTTGGAACAAAAGACCTCAGATAAAGATGAGGGAGCTTGTTCAATCTTGCTGAAGGGCTACTGGACTGAAGGGGACCGGGCTCAAGTGACCCCAAGGAGCCCATGGTCAGGATTACAACTGGGGGCAAGGACATTAAGTTTTTGGTCGATATTGGTGCTGAACATTCAGTAGTGACCATCCTGGTCGCCCCCTTATCCAAGAAAACCATTGATATAATTGGAGCAACAGGAATTTCCATTAAGCAGGCTTTCTGTCTACGACGGACCTGCTCGGTGGGGGGACATGAGATAGTTCATCAGTTCTTGTACATGCCTGCTGTTCCTTGCCCTTGCTGGGAAGAGACTTGCTTAGCAAGCTGAGAGCCACCATCTCCTTTATAAAACAGGGCTCTTTACAGCTAAAGTTACCAGGAACAGGAGTTATCATGGTCCTTACAGTCCCCTGGGAAGAAGAATGGAGACTTTTTCTAACCAAGCCAGGCCAAGAGATAAAATCAGCTCTAGCTAAGCGATGGACCTGAGTATGGGCAAAGGATAACCCTCAGGGACTGGTGGTCAACCAAGCCCCTGTACTCATAGAAGTTAAGCCTGGGGCCCAACCAATTAGACAAAAGCAGTATCTGGTTTCCAGAGAAGCTCTCGAAGGAATCCAGGTTCATCTCAGGCACTGGAAATCCTATGGAATTATAGTTCCTTGCCAATCTCCATGGAACATCCCCCTCCTGCCTATCCCTAAGCCAGGGACCAAGGACTACCGGCCAGTACAGGACTTGTGCTTAGTCAACCAAGCTACAGTGACACTGCACCCAACAGTTTCTAACCCTTACACATTGTCAGGGCTGCTGCTGGCTGAGGACAGCTGGTTTACCGTCTGGACTTAAAAGATGCCTTCTTTAGCATCAGACTAGCTCCTGAGAGCCAGAAGCCATTTGCCTCTCAGTGGGAAGATCCGGAGTCAGGTGTCACTACTCAGTACACTTGGACCCGGCTTCTCCAAGGGTTCAAGAACTCCCCTACTATCTTCGGGGAGGCCCTGGCTCGAGACCTGCAAAAGTTTCCTGCTAAAGACCTAGGCTGCGTCTTGCTCCTGTATATGGATGATCTTCTGCTGGGACACTCCACGGCAGTTGGGAGCGCAAAATGGACTGATGCCCTGCTTTGGCACCTGGAGGATTGTGGGTATAATGTATCCAAGAAGAAAGCTCAGATCTGCAGACAGCAGGCACGCTACCTGGGATTCACTAGTCAGAAAGGGGAGTCCAGCCTGGGGTCAGAAAGAAAGCAGGTCATCTGCAGCCTGCTAGAACCTAAAACCAGAAGGCAAGTAAGGGAATTCCTAGGAGCTGTGGGGCTTTGCAGATTATGGATTCCAAACTTTGCAGTACTAGCCAAACCTTTGTATGGGGTTACAAAGGGGGATGACCGGGAGCCTTTTGAATGGGGCCTCTACAACAGCAAGCCTTTTGTAAGTTAAAGGAAAAACTTATGTTGGCCCCAGCCCCAGGACTACCAGATTTGACAAAGCCCTTTACACTCTATGTGTCAGAAAGAGAAAAATGACAGTTGGAGTTTTAACCCAGACTGTGGGGCGTTGGCCAAGGCCAGTGGCCTATCTCTCAAAACAACTAGATGGGGTTTCCAAAGGCTGGCTACCATGGCTAAGGGCCCTGGCAGCAACAGCCCTGTTAGCACTGGAAGCAGATAAACTAACCCTTGGGCAAAACTTGAATATAAAGGTCCCCCCATGCTGTGGTAACTTTGATGAATACCAAAGGACATCATTGGCTAACAAATGCTAGATTAACCAAGTACCAAAGCTTGCTATTTGAAAATCCCTGCGTAACTATTGAAGTCTGTAACACCCTAAATACCGCTACCCTGCTCCCAGTATCAGAGAGCCCGGTTCAGCATAACTGTGTAGAGGTGTTGGACTCAGTCTATTCTAGTAGACCTGAGCTTCGGGACCAGCCATGGGCATCAGGAGACTGGGAGTTATACGTGAATGGGAGCAGCTTCACTAACCGACAAGGAGAAAGATGTGCAGGATATGCGGTGGTAACTTTGGATGCTGTCATTGAAGCCAAACCTTTGCCACAGGGCACTTCAGCCCAGAAGGCTGAGCTCATTGCTTTAACTCAGTGAAGGTAAGATGGTAAACATCTACACTGACTCTCGATATGCCTTTCTAACCCTCCAAGTGCATGGAGCATTATATAAGGAAAAGGGTCTGTTAAACTCTGGGGAAAAGGACATAAAATATCAACAAGAAATTCTACAATTATTAGAGGCAGTGTGGAAACCTCAGATGGTGGCAGTCATGCACTGCAGGGGACACCAGCGAGCCTCCACCTCAGTGACCTTAGGAAACTCTGGAGCTGATTTAGAAGCTCGAAAAGAAGCATCTACCCCTTACCGGGCATCAGTAGTAGCCCCCTTTCTCCCTTAAAAACCTGACTTGGTACCTACCTATTCTAACAAAGAAAAAGATTTCTTCCACACAGAAGGGGAGCAAGTAATAAAAGGAGGATGGGTCAGACTGCCAGATGGGAGGGTAGCTGTGCTGCAGTTACTGGGAGCCACAATCGTATTGCCCATGCATGAAACCACTCATCTAGGTCAAGAGTCACTTGAAAAATTGTTAGGCCAATACTTCTACGTCTCACACTTGCCAGCCTTTGCCAAAGCAGTAGCACAACATTGCGTTACTTGCTGACAGTACAATGCGAGGCAAGGCCCCACTGTTCCACATGGCATACAAGCTTATGGAGCAGCTCCTTTTGAGGATCTTCAGGTGGATTTTACAGAAATGCTGAAATGTGGAGGTAAAAAGTTATTTGCTGGTTCTTGTGTGTACTAACTCGGGGTGGGTGGAGGCTTATCCAAAATGAACTGAAAGAGGTAACTCGTGTCCTTCTCTGAGATCTTATTCCTAAGTTTGGACTGCCCTTACGAATTGGCTCAGATAACGGGCCGGCGTATGTGGCTGACTTGGTACAGAAGACAGCAAAAACATTAGGAATCACTTGGAAGCTACATGCCACTTACCTACCTCAAAGTTCCGGAAAGGTGGAGCAAATGAATCGGACTGTCAAAAATAGTTTAGGGAAAGTATGTCAGGAAACAGGATTAAAGTGGATACAGGCCCTTCCTATGGTATTGTTTAAAATTAGATGCACTCCTTCTAAGAAAACAGGATACTCCCCTTATGAAATATTGTATGATAGGCCTCCTCCTATACTGTGGGAACTTCCAGGCACTCCCCGAGAGTTAGGTGAAATTGAATTACAGCGACAGCTACAGGTTTTAGGAAAAATTACACAAACAGTCTCTACTTGGGTAAATGAGAGGTGTCCCATCAGCTTATTCTCCCAGTTCACCCTTTCTCTCCAGGTGATCGCGTGTGCATCAAGGACTGGAACGTAGCCCCTTTGCAGCCATGGTAGAAAGGACCTCAGACGGTTATCCTGACCACCCTCACGGCTGTAAAGGTAGAAGCAATCTCAGCCTGGATCCATCACAGCCGTGTGAAACCTGCAGGTGATGAAACCTGGGAGGCAAAACTGAGCCCGGACAACTCCTGCAAAGTGACTCTGAGGAGGATGACAAGCCCTGCTCCGTTCACACCCGGAAGCTGACTGGTCTACACACAGCCGAAGCATGAGGAGAATCATCGTAGGACTCATTTTCCTTATAATTTGGACTTGTATAGTAAAAACTTCCACTGATTTTCCCCGCATGGAAGACTGCTCTCAGTGTATACATCAGGTTACCGAGGTAGGGCAAGTTAAAACAATCTTTCTGTTCTATAGTTACTATGAATGCCTAGGAACTTTACAAGGAACATGTTTATATAATGACACTCAGTACAAGGTATGTAGCCCAGGAAATGACCGACCAGATGTGTGTCATGACCCCTCTGAGCCTCCCATGTCAATACTTTTTGAAGCAAGATTAAGGACTGAAGACTGGTAGAGACTCATAAATGATACAAGTAAAGTATTAGCCAGAACAGAAGAAAAAGGGGTCCCCAAACGCATAATCTTGAAATTTGATGCCTGTGCTGTCATTAACAGCAATAAATTAGGAAGGGGATGTGGCTCTTTTAGTTGGGAAAAAGACTATATGAGCAAACATAAGTACATTTGTCATGAATTAGGACGGTGTGGAAATGAATGTGGATACTGGTCTTGTGTCATTTGGGACACTTGGATAAAAAATGAAAAGGTTCCAGTCCACCTTCAGAAAGGAAAAAATGGCCCTTCCTGTACTAAGGGACAATGTAACCCCTTAGAGCTAGTAATAACCAATCCCCTTGATCCTCGCTGGAAAAAAGGGGAGCGTGCGACCTTAGGAATCGACGGGACTGGACTAGATCCTCGAGTAAATATCTTGGTTCAAGGAGAAGTTTACAAACACTCTCCTGAACCAGTGTTTCAAACTTTCTATGATGAACTAAATGTACCAGTACCAGAAATTCCAGGAAAAATGAGAAATTTGTTTTTGCAATTAGCCGAGCATGTAGCCCAGTCTCTCAATGTCACTTCATGTTATGTATGTGCAGGAACTGTAATAAGAGATCAATGGCCATGGAAAGCCCAAGAATTAGTACCTACAGACCCAGTTCCTGATGAATTCCCAGCTCAAAAGAATCACCCTGATAATTTCTGGGTCCTAAAAGCCTCAATTATTGGACAATATTGCATAGCTAGGGAAGGAAAAGAATTCATTTGCCCCGTAGGATGACTTAGTTGTCCGGGACAGAAATTGTATAAAGGTACCACAAAAACAGTCACTTGGTGGAGTTCAAATCAAACAGAGAGGAATTCATTTAGCAAATTCCCAAAGTTGCAAACTGTGTGGACCCACCCAGAGTCCCACTGGGACTGGACAGCCCCCACTGGATTGTACTGGATATGTGGGCATAGAGCTTATGCCAAATTACCTGATGAGTGGGCAGGTAGTTGTGTTATTGGCACTATTAAACCATCTTTCTTCCTACTGCCCATAAAAACAGGCAAACTCCTGGGCTTCACTGTCTATGCTTCCCGTGAAAAGAAAAGCATAGCTATAGGAAATTGGAAAGATGATGAATGGCCCCCTGAGAGAATCATACAATATTATGGGCCTGCTACTTGGGCACAAGATGGCTTCTGGGGATACCAGACCCCTATTTACATGATCAACCGAATCATACGGTTACAAGCTGTCTTAGAAGTAATCACTAATAAAACCGGTAGAGCCTTGACTATTCTGGCCCAGCAAGAAACTCAGATGAGAAATGCTGTCTATCAAAATAGATTGACTCTCAACTACTTGCTAGCAGCTGAAGGAGGGGTCTATGGGAAATTTAACCTTACTAATTGCTGCCTACACATAGTTGATCAAGGGCAAGTAGTTGAAGACATAGAGATATGACAAAACTGACACATGTACCTGTGCAAGTGTGGCATCCATTTCCAAACACGGATCCTGGGGCCATGTTTGGAAAATGGTTCCCAGCGCTAGGAGCATTTAAAATTCTTTTAATAGGAGTTATAATAATAATAGGAACCTGCTTACTGCTCCCTTGTTTGCTACCTGCACTTCTTCAAATGATAAAAAGCTTCATTGCTACCTTAGTTCACCAAAATGCTTCAGCACAAGTGTACGATATGAATCACTATCGATCTGTCTTGCAAGAAGACATAGGTAGTGAAAATGAAACTGAGAACTCCCATTAATAAAATGAGTGAGAGTCTCAAAAGTGGGGAATAAGGGAGGAGACCACCCCTCATATCATCTTATGCCCAATTCCTGCCTCCAAAGAAAGAAGTAAAAACTAAAAGGCAGAAATGAAATCCACAGGCAGACAGCCCGAGCGCCGCACCCTGGGCCTGGTAGTTAAAGATCGACCCCTGACCTAATTGGTTATGTTATCTACAGATTACAGACATTGTATAGAAATGCACTGTGAAAATCCCTATCTTGTTTTGTTCCGATGTAATTACTGGTGCATGCAGCCCCCAGTCACGTACACCCTGCTTGCTCAATCAATCACGACCCTCTCGCACGCACCCCCTTAGAGTTGTGAGCCCTTAAAAGGGACAGGAATTGCTCACTTGGGGAGTTCGGCACTTGACACAGGAGTCACTAATAAAACCGGTAGAGCCTTGACCAGGAGTCTTGCCAATGCCCCCAGCCGAATAAACCCCTTCCTTCTTTAACTCGGTGTCTGAGGAGTTTTGTCTGCGCCTCGTCCTGGTACAGACTAGTGGACATTAGAACTAAGGAGAGCCAAAGTGTTGTCTGGGTTGAACCAGTTTAGATTTTCTCTAATGGGGTTTTAAAATCGGTACGCAGAAATGCACATGAGTTGGTAAATTTGCTGGAGCAGAGAGGCACAGTGTTTGGTCCTCAATGTTAGGAGCAGAGAAAATTAGGCTGGGGCTGGAGGAAAAGAGAGACTATTTCCTAATGTCTTTCCAATTCTTGGACTCAGCAATGCAAATCTTACTGTACTTTCTGCCTTTAGTTCCTAGAATTTTTTCTTTTTAAATAAGAAAGCTTTCTATACTCAATCTATTTTGAGTGAAATTTTTGGTAATTCAGAGAAATTTCACAGTAGGTCACTCATTTCCTCTTTTTGAAACTTCAGTCCTGCTGCTCTAAAGTAACTTTCCCTAAGGTTGATATGTGATATCTGTTCAAATAAACCCAGCTTTGACCTCCAGATAGAAATACAATATTTGTGGTTTCAACATATTTTAAGACCACAATTTCTAAGCAAAAATTTTTAGAAAAATTTCACATTTTTGCAAGTCCTAGACAGAACTAAAGAAACAACATTTTTATTTTCAAATATAAGTGAATCAGAAATGACATTATTTCATCTGAAAAATAACAGATAATATTTTCTTCCCCTGTTAATGGTGGAGAGTGTCCAGGTTCTTGGAGTTTTGAACAAAGAATTGGACAAAATGCACAAACAAAGCAAGAAGGAATGAAGGGTTTTATTGAAAATGAAAGTCCACTCCATGGTGTGGGAGCTGGCCTGAGCAGAGGGGCTCAAAGGACCTATTACAGAGTTTTTGTGAGTTTCAATACCCTCTCCCTGGAGTATGCCCTGTGTAAATGAAGAGGATGAAGTAAAGTTACAAAGTCATTTACAGTATACACCCTGTGGAGAGGCTATTTTGTGTTACAGCTGCGGTGTGAATTGACCTTATGTTTCCTGCCTCCAGACCCATTTTCCTCCCCCACCCCTATACGGTTTATTGTATAATGAGTTTACACATTTCAGAATCTTACCTTGTCTTTCTACTCTGCAACTTCGTGTTTGGAGACAGGCTCTCGCTTCTCACTCTGTTGCGCAGGCTGAAGTGCAGTGTTGTGATCACGGCTCACTGCAGGCTCAACCTGCCTGGCTCAAGTGATCCTCCCACTACCCTCTGAAGCAGCTGGGACTACAGGTGTGCACCATCATGCTCTGCTAATTGTATTGCATTTCTTGTAGAGAAGAGGTTTGGCCATGTTGCCCAGGCTGGTCACAACTTTGTCTTTTTTCTGTAGTCTGTAATTTTTTTTTAAACCTTATTGTGTGAATCAAATATCAAACTACTTTTCTTAGATGTTCACAAATGGATAATTATTCACCTCAGTATTTGAAGATCTCTTAACAAGATCCATAAATACCACTTAGAATTGCTGTTACTAGTTTAAAAACTTTGTAGGAAAGTAAAATTGTAGAATACATAATATTAATCTACTGAATAAAAGTATTTAAATGAACTAAAATAAAATTTTAATATCAAATAAGTTTGTGTGCTTCTCAATGTTTTATTTCTCAAAAACAGAAAACTCTTTAACTTGAAATGTTCATCAATTTAAAGATTAAATCAGCTGAAATAATATTAGAATTTGATATACGATGCAGTTCAGTCTCCTGTACTGTAACTCAATTTAGTACATGTAATCAGTTTATGATGGCAATTGGTTTATTCCTGATGAATGTTGCTGTGAAATTGTCTCAATAACTACAACAAAACCCCTAAACTCCTAAAAAGCAAATGACTATAGTTTTATTAAAAGACAACATTTTTGGGTTACTCTGAGTTTCACTATTTTACTTATATGTTCAGTTTCTACAGTCATGGTCTCTGATTTCATATTAAAGAAGTACACAGAAATCACCTGGGTTCATCTTTGTTGAAAAAAAAAGGAAAACATAGCAGATGCATTATAGTAATTAAGTAACAGTTTTTGCTGCAGGCAAAAAATATCTTTCGGGCATTTTAATTAAGTCAACTATGTTTCAGCATGCTTGCAAATGTACTTCATTTGATCTTCACAAAATCTGAAGTATGGTATACATAATAACAGTGATAACATGGTAAATGTTTTATATTTTCAGGAAACAACCATTTTTATATAATTAACTTAAACTGTAAAATGTATTTCTGTTTTTCAAATATAAATCCAGGCAATTATATTTAATTTAAGGAAAACATGAGAGGCCAATTATTTTGAGAAATGATGGCTTTGTGTTCAGCGTCCATTAGATTCAGTTTTCATGGGGTTATCTCTTATTTTGTAAGAACACATCAGTTTAACATTTATGAAATAAGATTTTTTTCCTTAATGATAATTTCTCCATATGATCACATTTTTATTGCAATTGTACTATATGTACTGAATAGTTTAATTCTTTTTTTTTTTTTTGTGACAGAGTCTTGCTATGTCACTCAGGCTGGAGTGCAATGGCGTGATCTCGGCTCACTGCAACCTCCACCTCCCAGGTTCAAGCAATTCTCCTGCCTCAGCCTCCTGAGTAGCTGGGATTACAGGCACGTGCCACCACACCCAGCTAATTTTTGTATTTTTAGTAGAGATGCGGTTTCACCATGTTGGTCAGGCTGGTCTAGAATTCCTGACCTCGTGATCCACCCACCTCAGTCTCCCAAAGTGCTGGGATTACAGGTGTGAGCCACCATGCCCTGTCTAATTCTTCATTAGTAATAAAATGCCAGTAAATATTTAAATAAGAATAAAACTTATAACTGGACTTGTTTTGGTAAGTAAGTAGTTTTGGCTATTAATCTTAATTTCTTGATTTTGAGTCACCTGACTTTTGGTTTGGTTTATTTTGGAATTCTTTTATTATTTTTCACATCACCTTTTAACTATCTTGTATAATAATTTTTAAAAAAGAAATATAGGAAAGTCTTGTCTTCTACATGCAAAGCAATACTTTCACCTAACATTCAATTCTTTCCCTTGGTATTAAACAGTTATGAATCCCTTTGGCTGCAAAGATACAGTAGCAAGATACAGAATGAGAAAACAAAAAGGAAGAAAAATATAGGGGAGATGAAATGGGAACAAGACAAAGAAATTATATTTAACAGAAAGAGGTATGGGTTAAACAATTAATGTTGGAGAAAATTAATGAATTAAGAAGATAAGGAAATAGGTAAATATTAAAATAAAAAGACAATATAGGAAAAGCAAATATCTTATTTATTTTAGTTAAATAAAACATAATTTTATGAATAAAAGAGGTTTAACTCTCCTAGAAGACATAAATGTTAAAATATCTATTCAGACTTGTCACAATTTAAATAAAAACACAATCTTGAATCATAAAAATATTCTGATACTGTTATTTTCTCCATAACCATAATTCTCTGGGACAGGAAATTCCAAATGACATCAACTTCATGTTTCAATTACAAACTAAATTAAAATTATTTTAGAATAAAAATGGGATGCATCTTCATTTAGAAGCCAGATGTCTTATTAAATATAATTTCCTCTGTTGGCTGCTTTATATTAAGGCGGATTTGAAACAAGAACAGCTTCTGTGAAATATAATTATACCCCCTTTTGTGACTTTCATGGTCATAGAGGCTGGAATAAGAAAATAGCTAACAAACAAAGCTGCAAAGC